TACGCAGGAGTAATTGGGAGTAGAATATGTGAGGGATAGTATCACAGAGATGTGTATAGTGAAAAGTAATATCTATCCTTCTTTTGCATCTCTGAGCGTTTCTGTTTTGTATATTGGTTTGAAAATCTTGAACTTGCATGATTTGCAATGTGTTTTTTTTTTACTGAAACTCCCCTATTGATCGAATCCCGGGTTTGAACGAGAACGGCACACCACGTGATTCGTTTGAATACAATGCTGAAGGCCGTGCTACAGCGGTACTACACTGACGGGATGACTTACTAGTACTGCATGCTACAACTTCGCTTGTGATGTTGCTTGTTAGCCATGGATTAAATGAATCTTGATTACCAGTTAAAATGTTGCTCATTTGGCGTTGGTAATCTTTATTTGGAACTGGGTAACGCCGCAACGTCGCCAGCAGAAACCTCCCGACCCGACCTAAATTGCTACCCCGGTTTGTTGCACGTTCTTTCTTTAATATGAAATAATCAAATATGGGACATATGTAATAATAACAGAACCCCACACCCTCCCCGTGGCTTCGCTCGTGAAAGTACGGCAGCAGGATACACCGCATCACTCGTGAAAATAACATCCATACGCAATGAAAGCCACGGGGAGGGTAAGGGGTTCTGTCATAATACTTCATTATCACTGAACATTTTTTCCCTGAAATAAATTCCAGTGAAAATGCCATTTCCTCATACTCTATTGAGACACAGCACAGTGAAATTGGATTCACATGTAATGCTTGAAAACATGTCAGCAAAAATAAATTAAGTGAAATTCTATGTGACTTCATAAGAGTTGGAAATGAACAAATTACACCCGCCCCAACCACTCCATACACAATGTAAACTATATCCCAAAACACCCTTTCACCCACGGTTACAACCGTGTTTCACCAGTGTATTCTATTTGACTTCAGGAGAAATTGAAATAAACAAATTAATTATAATTTCAGCCTCTAGTTGAGCACTGATTAAATAAACTACCTCGTCTTTATGTCAACTTGGAGTTATTCATTGCCTACATCAGTGACTTCAAAATATATGTTTCAATCCCAATAATTTCACTCGCTGTTAATTGCATGGGAGTGCCAGTCTTTCATGAATTTCTATTGTCATGTCAATTTCTTGCGATTACTCGGAACATGAACCATATACCGCCTAGGTGCTGTAACCAAATCCTGGTATAAGCACTGGTTAGGCAGTCTTGAACTATGCATGTGAAGCCAGCTGAGAGGTATATCCAATCCTATCGATCTTTCATTGTTTGGTAACTATTTGCTGCAAATGCAACAAAAATCAATATAAAAATATTACCCACACAGCATTCTACAGGTTACTTGTACTAGTGAGAATTTGAAAAAGATTCAGATAATTCAATTTGTTGTACCATAATATCTTCAGACTCCTGAACAGAATGATAACAGACGGAAAATGTTCCTTTTGTACCTCTCATCCCCTAATCTTAAAATTTAACCCTCGCCCAAGCCCCTCTCCCCAATTCAATTGTATATGCCCCTCTAGAAGGAGCACAGAAGGACTGGTTCCAGACTGACGATTCTACCACATGTCAAACGAATTTGTGTCGCGATCTGTTTTTGACCGCACCCTGTAAATTCATTTTAACAAAGGGGTCACTTTTTCACTTTTGATTAAGTAACGCATCGTAGAATGCAGATATGGGCATGTAAAACACATTTTTGAAAAGCTTGAAGTCTGGTGATTTCAAAAATATATACTTTCCTGGGTCTATTTGTAGTCATTTGGTCACAATTAGAAGATGAAAACAAGTATGCAAATAATAGTCCCGCTACCTTAAACAGAAAGATGTCGAGTTCAGTCCTGTAAGGTACTATCGATTTCAAAAGACACAGCTCGGCTTCTAACATAAGTCGACTGTATTTGCTGTTTTATGTGGAGTGCTGCGGGGCGTAACACAAAACAGGTCTCCGATGTCCCGTGGTGGTACTAGGCTAGGGCAACGTAATTTCCCTATCAATAAATCATCACGACCCGTTATTTATTTTCGCGCCGATCGTGACCAAAAAATACTACAAAAATACCCGGCAAAGTGTAATATGTTTAAACCAGGGTTCAAGCTTAAAAATGTGTTGTTCATGTCTGTGTCTACATTCTGTGACACATGACACGCTCACATAGAAAATATCACCTTTCTCAAAGTAAATAAAGGTGTTTTTCACGTTTCCCATTAGTTCACCTGCTGTAGAATTTCAGTGTTTAAAATAACTCTACTTTTCAACAGAACACTTTCACACCAGCATCTTCTAAGTTTGCAGTGGGGAATTATGGTTCGTAACACTATGGGTTGTTTTTTTAATAATAATCACCAGATGCTACGCGGTCGTTGATTTACTGCTCGCTTTGGTGTATAATATTATAACCCCACTGAATGTTTTTGGGCGGGTATCGGTATGTATGGTTGGTACAAGGTGGGGGACACTCTTTTGTATCACGGTTCAAAGTAAAGGATTGTGCTTTTTTAAATCTGTCATGGTGATGAATCAATTACGCCAAAACTATGTACATACCTCACTTTGTAATCCCTGCTAGAACGTACTAATTGAGTACATGACAGTGTACAGGCCGTCAAATTTAATTTATAAAAGCCTTGGCAAAACTCCAGTTCCCTCTCCATGACCTCGACATAGAAATGAAGCAAGAATACAAAAAAAATTGTTCCTGTATGTTTTTGCTAAAGGCCTGGAACAGTATATATAAAAGATGTATGTAATTTTCGTTTGATTAGTGCATCATATTTAATTTGGAAAACATAAGTGCTAACACAACGATTATATATTCCCCTAACATAGGGTACTATTACTATTAGTTTCCATTTAATTTACTGTCCAATTTATCGACGATTGTCCTCATTTTGTTATAATTATTATAATAAGCAGTACGACTAGATAATTGTCTAATAACAGTGTTTTAGTTCTTCCCCAATCATTATTATCAGCGATTGCGTGTTTGTTTGCATGTTGGAACATATCTATGGTACATTTTAAATCGAAGGATAACCATAGAAGCTGTTTTATACATATAGTGAGTGAAAGGTGTAGTACAATATCACTAATAATTCCTATGTAACGGCTGGTAGTATAACTCCATATATTATGTGCGCATATAAAGCAAAAATAAAACAATTTTCGTGGGTGGTTGAATTTTCTAATACGTGACTATCTATAAAAGCAACACGATTAAAGCAATCAAGATTCATTGTTGACGACAGTGACCCGTATTTGCTTTTCAGACGTCACAGGGACTGTGACCTTTCGAACCAAAACAAGTTCAAAATTAATAATATGTCGTGGTAGTTTTCCCGACCCTTTGCCCACTTTTACTGCGTGAGTGTGTGTGCGGATATGCGGTCCTTTACTAAATTAATTGGAATACATTTCGCAAAATTGTGGGTAAAACCCGTAATTTGCATAACCCAAGATGGCCACCAATGTTTGAATAGTCAAACTATTCTGACCGGCGGCACAGACCCGACAAAATGTGGGGGTCGCCCCTCCAAAATCAAGCCCGTCAAAGTGCAGGAACATTTTAACATTTTTAAGGGAGCATGCCCCGGACCCCCTAGTAAAGTCGTGCCTTCTGCGCGAGGGTTGGTGTGCAGATCCAACCCCCCCCCCCCCCGCCAAATTTCGTGCCACCGCCTCTGCTGGCACTGCTCACCTCCAGAAACATTAACGGTACCCTGCTGGCATTCACCAACTACAGCAAAGTTTATGGTACCTTACTGGCACTGCTCATCTCCAGCAACATGTACGGTAACCTGCTGGCACCACCTCCAATAGATGTTTTAAATAACTTTATTCAGGATTGTTTTATTATATGTACCTCTAAAGAAGTGAAGAAACAAACAAATGTCCTTCTCAAAATAAATGAGTCATCTCAGTTACAGTGCGTAAGTTCCTGGCTAAGATTAATCATTGTATTCAATTACACATGATTTGATTTTAGTTTTTTAGTTTTACAGCTGTCATACACCAGAATGTTCCAGAGACAAATTTAAGTTGCTTGCGTTTTTGGGAGCTCTTCCATCATGTCAGGATTATTCTGCCAATCTTCACCCTTTTTTGTGAAAATGGAGTGAGAGTTTTTCATCTGCAGAAAAAATGTCAAAGAATATATTCACATGGTGTTAGCATAATAACTAATGAGATTTAATTGTTGTTTAATACTGCAACATCACACAATTGTCTAACTGAACCGACAGAATACGCTAATTTTAATTCCATAAATAAACTAATTGACATTAGTCCCTTCTGAAAATTACATGTGAGCTGATAACAGTCAGGTAAGACTTGATATGAAGCACAAGCTTCAACAACATGGTTTGGCCAATGCAACATTATTCGCTGATATATAACAAAACCTAATAATGCCACATGATCAGTTTTTGGAAGATAAAATAATATTGGACATTCTTTAGACCTTTCTCATTTCAATACAAAACCGTTTGCAAATGCAGACGATGTTCTGAAAGAAAAAAAAATGTAATATAGTACACAACATTGTAATACAACCAGCACATCTAGAAGCATTAAATCAGCATTTGTAATAAGCTCCATAATCTGATTTCTGTACTGTTTACTAAAATGATCTTATTGCGGTTGAATGCCATACCATCAAAGTTTAGCAAAAGCATTGTACAGTAAAAGTGATATTTTTGAAACAAATCACGCCTATACTAGACAATCATTACTGCAATAAAACATGTGTATCTCCTGTATTTAAATTGTCGTTGAGATTTGACAGCTATATTATGTCATATCAAAGCTTCACAAATATTGTGAGGGTAGGATGAAAATGTTTACTAACACAGTTTACGAAAAATAATATTTTTTTTTGCACATTCCAGATTTTTCGAATTTATACAGTTATATTAACTATATACAGAGGTGCAGCTAGGGGATGTTTCTCAGCGATTTAAACATAAACTGTGGTCGTTGTTGATACTTTTCCGAAAATAGCATCCTTAGAATTACATACAAAATGAAATCTGACAGTCTGATTACGCGATGATTTCAATGAAATATTGTCATCCATGCTGTTAGTTGCATAAAATAACATCCCCGTAACTAGCAGATGGTGTCTGTCATCTAGAGGCGGTTTTCAGAACAATCACTATCTAATTTCTGAAACGCAATAACTGCATTTTCTGCAAACCACTAAACTGTACTTACGGTTAACCTCCAGAGGACACGATGAACTTTTTGATAAACTTATCTCACGTGTCAACCAAATAATTTTTTTATAACCTCTAATCCAACTCGATGACTGTCTTTTTTTTTTTACTTTTCAATATATTGTAGACGTCAATAAGTGGAAATATATTCAGCAAAGTTCCCAATTTCCGTCTAGTAAAATTCTGTTAGACTTGGAGTGCTAAAATTGTAATCACAATGTATTTGCAGCTCACAAGCCTATTACTTTTGTTCTGATTATTTATAAGTCTAAGCCAGTGGGGTTGGCCCTTTTTGTTATCGTTCTGGTTTTCTTCTTTTTCTTCTGTTTAGAGGTCGAAGCCCGAAGGGTTTGTCCCCCTATTATTATTATCGTACGGTCTTTACAATCCCATGTTTAGGGATAGGTCTCGATTTTGTTCTTTCTTCTTTCGTGATGCAATTCTTTGTCAGGCCAGAAAGAAGGAATTTTTATGGGGGAAAGTGTTTAGCATAGTAGTTTTTAATTGAGCGATGTTTTATTTAAGTTGGTGAAATTTTGAAATTGCGATATCTCGGGAGCTGTGTGGCATTTCTCCATCATAATCGATCGTCATATACCTGCGAAACAGTTTGGGGTTATATTACCCTAAAAATATGCAAATTGAGGTTTTATGCCGAGGTATTGAATCGCCGTGTATTTATTTGTGCATACATAATGTCAGGACATTTCAGTGTGTTTGTTATGTAAATTGGTGTGGGCTGTAAATCAAAAACCGATTGAATTATCCGTGGCATTATTTCAATGGCTTTGCAAAAACAATCAAGCAAAACTACCACCTGCAATATGCTGTCTGGAAAATAAGAAAAAAAATTGCCTAGGATAATACCTAAGATTTAATTTAATTTCTTTGTTTTGTACACAGGATGCATCACAACACATCTATAATGCAAGTGTCGCCGATGCCAATTTACCAGCAACAAGCTAGGTGTGTTTCCCCTACGACAACGGTGGCATTCTTGAAGACATACAAGACAGGGAGTACAACAATTTCATCAATATTAATACGTTTTGGACTCAGTCACAACCTGTCGTTCGTCATTCCCGCACACCATAATCCAGGTTATTTTTCAAGAACAGTACGGTTCAACAGTGAAATGCAAAAACACCTGTCCCCACCACTTCCAGGCTCCCGATACAGTATGTTAGTTAGCCATGTTCCATTCAATAAAACGGCAATCAACAATGTGATTCCAAATGCTACATTTATAACAATATTACGTCATCCTGTAGCTACATATGAGTCAATTTTTGGATTTTTTAAAATTCCTCGCATCCTTCACTTACGGACCAATGGTAGACAAGATCCATTCAGAATGTTTTTATCCAATACAAGCCTATATTACAAACGCCTTGGGAGCATGTACTACAAAACATTATTGAGAAATAGACAAATGTTTGATGTCGGACTTGACCCACAAAACAATGACAATGAAACACTCGTGAATCG